TCATCTACGTGTTCAAAAGAAGGGGGACAGTACCACCAGACGGTACTACAGCACAAGTGATCTGAGCCTATCCTCATTTAGGCTCTAGAATATGTGAGTTGGCACTTCTCATGATTACTGCGTAGTAATATATTATTATACAGATTTACACTATTGTTCTCTCTGTATATGTTTCTCTTTTCATTGTATATACGCTGAATTGGAAGTGATATTGTTACAACATATTAGGACCAGATGACCCTTGTCATTGGGTAGGTGTCCACCATTATCACTATATGCTCCACTCATACAGGTGAACTGCCTTTGGCTTTTCCACCTTTCTTGTAGTTCTTAAATTTGAGGTGGGTGTGAGGGACCCCCACAAGAGTGTTGCAGCATTTTCTACACAATCTTTAACAATCTATAAGCACCTTTTATACACAGTTTTTTTTTCTTCTCTGTAATACAAATGTTGCTGATGGAACAATTTTATGATGGGGTATCAACAGATGTACAGGAATGGGGAAGGGACCGTAACCCTACCCCTTACGGAAGCTGCTAGGAAAGCAGACGACTACCTGGATGCTCGCAGGCAACAGAAACCGGTAGTCCTAAAGACCACATTATAATCCTTTGGGGAGACAAACTACCCCACAGTACCACCATGACAACTACCACCACCACCACCTTCTGCACAACCGCAATTCCATCAGCCTAGCTCAGTGCAGTGTCATCAGTGCCAGAGATGGGGACACTACAAGAGGGAGTGCCCTCAGCTGCGAGACCGATCCACCTGGATAAGGCCAGGCCCAACACCACCACCACCGAGAGCAGTGGCACACCACTACCAGGAGGAGACACCCGCCGCCTATTGCTCCGCATTCCCCGTCACTACAATAGAACTTTGGGAGGTACTACATGAAGCCAACCCGCTACAAGCCAATGCAGATAATCGCCAACACCACAGGCAAACCGAATATCTGGATGGAAAAGCGGTGCAGGGGCCCCGAGACTCAGGAGCCACCATAACCCTGGAAAAAAGCCACTTGGTCTCTGACAAGGCCAAGACCAACAGGACTGTAGCTGTTAGGGTTGTTGGGGGAGCCATCTACCAGCTGAATACCGCAAAAGTACATTTGCATTGGGGAGTGGGGTCGGGAAATGTAGTGGTGGGGATAATGCCACAGTTACCCACAGAGGTGGTACTGGGAAACGATTTGGGAAAGCTCACTTCTGCCTTTGAGCCCCAAGCCACAACCACTGAGGAAGCACATCCAGTGGTCACCAGGCAACAGGCCTGCACCCAGGACTACAACACACTGCCGGAGGTTCAGGTAAGAGAGCCTTCCCCTTCCCTAGACTGTGTACCCATGGCCCCTCCTAACGAATTTGCGGCAGAGGTAATCACTGACCCTACAGCTATCCGGGTATTTGGGGGTCAGTCGTACCCGATATCAACTGACCCAGAGTTTCTTTTGGCCAGGGGTTAGCCAGGAGGTACGCAAATATTGCAGTACATGCGATACGTGCCAGAGGGTAGGGAAGAGGGGAGACCGTCAGAAGGCGAAGTTGCATCCGCTACCTATAATTGAGGAACCATTTCACAGAATATCGGTAGATATCATAGGCTCCCTTCATAAACCTAGCCCTTTGGGCAAGAAATATATTTTAACTGTTGTGGATTACGCCACCCGATATCCAGAGGCGGTGGCCCTGACAAATATACATGCCGAAACCGTGGCCAAGGCCCTGATGCAGATTTTCTCCCGGATGAGGCTACCCAGGGAGATCATCTCGGATCAGGGTACTCAATTTACCGCAGAGGTCACTCAGCACCTCTGGAGATTTTGTGACATTAAACCTATCATTAGTGCCCCCTACCAATGGGCTCTGCGAACGATTCAATGGTACATTAAAACAAATGCTCCGAACCTTCGCCGAGACCCACAGGGATTGGGAGCGATTCCTGCCTCACCTCTTCTTTGCTTACCGAGAGGTGCCGCAGGAGTCAACCGGGTTTTCTCCATCTGAGCTGTTATTTGGGAGGAGAGTAAGAGGGCAACTAGACCTTATTAGAGAACATTGGGAGGGAGACCGGAGCGCGGATGGTACCCCCATTGTACCATATGTATTGGCGCTACAAGACCGACTGGAGGCCCTAACTAAGACAGTAAAGGAAAACATTCAGGCGGCTCAGACGCACCAACGCACCTGGTATGATCGGTGCGCCAGGGACCGTAGCTTCCAGGTTGGGCAGAAAGTTTTCATTTTAAAACCTGTCCGACATGATAACATACAGGCCGCCTGGCAAGTCCCTTATAAAGTCGTGGAACAGAGATGTGACACCACTTATATAATTGGCCCCTGCACAGGAACTGGAGGGCGATGCATGCTCCATGTTAACATGATGAAGCCCTACCAGGAACGCTCAGAGGAGGTGACAGCTATTTGTGCACCCAACTCCGACGAGTTTGACAGCCTTCCCCTCCCAGATCTGCTGGGAGACGGTAGGCTGTCTGGGGATTTAGGAGAAGTTGTGCTGGGAGACCGGCTGAGTCCACAGGAGCTTACAGAGGTACAGCAACTGTTGAGAGAGAAGCAAGACACCTTCTCTAATGTACCTGGATACACTCCTCTGGCCACTCACCGGGTGGAAACCCCAGGGCAACTCCCCATGCGCCAGACCCCATACCGCGATCCCTGAAGCGGTACGTGAGAATATGCGCAAGGAGATCATTGAGATGCTCCAACTGGGGGTGATTGAGCCCTCAGACAGCCCCTGGGCTTCTCCAGTAGTCCTCGTACGAAAGCGGAACGGTACTACCCGCTTCTGCGTGGACTACCGGAGTTTGAACGAAAAGACCGTATCAGACGCCTATCCTATGCCTAGGATAGATGAACTGCTAGACCGGATGGCCAGAGGCCAATACCTCACTACTATTGATCTGTGTAAGGGGTATTGGCAGATTCCCTTGGCTCCAGACACCTTTGTCACCCCATTCGGCTTGTACCACTTTAAAGTCATGCCGTTTGGGATGAAAAACGCTCCGGCTACCTTCCAGCGGATGGTGGACCGACTCCTACATGGGCTCCAAGACTACACCTGTGCATACCTAGACGATATTGCCATTTTTAGCAATACCTGGAAGGAGCACTTGGCCCATATAGGAGGGGTTCTAGACAGGATTAGGGAGGCCGGTCTGACGTTGAAACTGGCCAAATGCAGTATAGGAATGGCCGAGGTACAATACCTGGGACATCGAGTGGGCTGTGGAAAGCAGAAACCAGAACCAGCCAAAGTAGAGGCTGTAGCCCAATGGCCCACTCCTAGGACTAAGACTCAGGTGCTTGCATTTCTAGGGACAGCAGGATACTATAGGAAGTTTGTCCCCAATTATAGCGCCCTGGCCAAACCCCTTACTGACCTGACCCGTAAGAACCTTCCCAGCCAAGTAACCTGGACCCCGGAGTGTGAGCAGGCATTCCAACATCTGAAAAATGCACTTAGCAATGCCCCTGTCTTGGCAGCTCCCAATCCAACTAAACGTTTTTTTGTTCACACAGACGCTTCTATGTTTGGATTGGGAGCAGTACTGAGCCAAGTCGGGGCCGATGGCGGAGAACATCCCGTGGCGTACATCAGTCGCAAGTTGTTACCCAGAGAAGTAAACTACGCCACCATCGAAAAGGAATGCCTGGCTGTGGTGTGGGCCCTAAAGAAGTTGCAGCCGTATTTGTATGGACAGCCCTTTTCTTTGCTCACGGATCACAACCCGTTAGTATGGCTGAACCGGGTGGCTGGGGACAATGCCAGGCTGCTGCACTGGAGTTTGGCGCTGTTGCCCTTTGACTTAAACATTCAGTATCGCCAGGGCAAACAAAATGGAAACACTGACGGGTTGTCTAGACAAACAGACTTGGAGAAATGATCCGTGAGCACCCCGGACATCCCCAAGCCGTTCGGTGCGGGATCAGACTGTGTATGCCGGCTTGTGGGCAAGGGGGAGCAGTGTAGCGGATGGCATTGGGCTGTCCTAAAAAGTGCATTTATGTCTTTGTATTCGGTTGAATTGTAACCTGTATATGTGAAGTGTATGTAGCATTCGTCTGATTGTTTGGTAAAATCACTCCAGTTATTATGCGAGTGAAACTACCGAACAATCAGACCACCCCAGTAGTAAGTGTGCCTCCAATTACTGTTCGCAACAATGTTGCAAACGGTTAATTGGCGGTTCATGTAGTGGGTCCTTTGTTCTCTGGGTGGCCGCCATTCAGGAGACGAACACGTGGCGGCGGCCATTTTAAACTCCGGAACAGCGGTGTTTTGCCGTCGAGTGTCTGGAAACCAAATCGGACACTCGGTTAGGCAAACACCGCTGAGACCTCCACACTGCCGCCAATTCGTATACAAACTACCGAATGGCTTCCCGTTCAGTAGTTTGAACCCCACGAACAAGGGAAATTACACAAAACCTCCCCAGCTCTCCTAACATAAGCCATTTGTGTGTTACATTCCCTTTTCTGTGACCGACCACAGGGCCAAAACACATGGAGCCCGTTTGGGCTGTTAAACCCAGCACGGTCTGTCTTTTTAGTACTTCCATAAATTTCTCGAACCCCTTGTCCGATCTGGGTGATATTTGGATATGTGTCTCACCCAGATCAGGGCTACCAGGTGATATAACATTTAAAGTGGTACCCCTATGTTTAGGGGAGGGGATGTGTGGGTGGCAACTCGTGGAGGATTGGTTACTGTAATAATTATTGCAAATCCCTCCCTTACATGGGAGAATGCTTTATAAGGAAGTTGTGTGAATTAAAAGTCAGTTCTGCTCCTGATGCTGTATGTCGTCCAGTCATTGGGATCCGTCTTGGGATATTCGTGGATTACCTTGCTTGCTGTGATTATTAACCAATGGTATTTTATAACTTGTTCCTGAGCCTTACTGGGATCTTTAGTGGAGTTAACCTGTGAAAGACCAGCTCTCCGCTACAGTTTGTCTGTATGTATGTGTCTGTATGTGTGTGTGTGTGTCTGTATGTATGTGTGTCTCTGTATGTATGTGTCTGTATGATACATACAGATACATACAGAGACACACACATATACACAAACATACAGAGACACACACAGACACATACATACAGACAGACACACAGACAGACACACACACACACACACACAGATACACACATACAGAGATACACACACATACAGTCTGTATGTATGTGTCTGTATGTGTCTGTGTGTGTGTCTGTATATGTGTGTGTGCATCTCTTTGCATGTCTGTCTGTGTGTGTGTGTGTGTATGTCTGTATGTATGTGTATGTGTGTCTTTGTATGTATGTGTCTGTATGGTCCAGACACATACATACAGAGACACACACAGACACATACATACAGATATACAGACACATACATACAGACACACACACAGACACATACATACATACACATACCGACATACACATCATACACACACACACACATACATACAGAGACACACACATACAGTGTGTGTGTCTCTATGCATGTCTGTCTGTGTGTATGTCTGTATGTGTCTGTATGTGTGTGTCTGTATGCATGTGTGTCTCTGTATGTATGTGTCTGTATGATACTACATACAGAGACACACAAATAGACACATACATACAGAGATGCACACACATACATATATACAGACACACAGACATACACACACAGACACATACATACAGAGATACACACACATACAGTCTGTATGTATATGTCTGTATGTGTCTGTGTGTGTGTGTGTGTGAGTGCATCTCTATGCATGTCTGTCTGTGTGTATGTCTGTATGTATGTGTCTATGTGTGTCTCTGTATGTACGTGTGTCTCTATGTATGTGTCTTTGTGATACAGACATATACATACAGAGACACACACAGACACATACATACAGATACACACACTCATACAGACACACACATAGACACATACATACAGACACATACCAACATACACACAGACACATATATACATACATATAGACATACACACACATACATACAGAGACACACACACATACAGGGTGATTTCCCCGGGGTCCAGTGTGGGCTCAGCCTGATGGGAGTCAGGGTTCCCACTCTGATTCCCTCCTCATTCCTCCCGCGCTGCTCTCTGATAGCTGAGATGAGTGACGTGCAGTCACTTCCTCCCAGCTATGTCTGACATCATCACAGGGGGCCCGGTCATGCTGTTAAAGCTCCCAGCGCTGACTGGGCCCCCTGACAATTCATCTCCATCGGATGGCCCTAACAGCATGGGCCACCCGATGGACCCTTTGGAGGGCGGCCCCGGCGGTTTGATGCGCGGGCCGGGGGCTGCAAATGAAGCTGGTGGGTACCTGGTCACAGGGGTCCACAGTGACCCCTGCGACCGCGGTATGTATACCAGTGGCTATGAGAAAATGTCATGTAGCTTGCTGGAGTCTGGGTTCAAATTTGAAAGAGTATGGTCATGTTGGAATTTTAGTTCATTTGTTAAAGTGAATTAGTAATTTTATGTCATTTACCCATAAATTGCCTGTTAAGACACCCCTGGTGTCTTTAAACGAAACCACCGTTAGTTAGCCTTCCCCTTCTGCAATACCAATAACTCCGTTCGCATAAACTGCAGTATACGAACCAACCTCAGGGGAAGCGGCAATCTCCCAACCGGGATCCGTGAAAGGCTCCAAACTCCCGAACGGAAATCCATGAACTGCTGCTAGCCGGCGAACAACGATATCCACCAAGCGGCTATCGGTTCCAATCAGCAGTCTCTAAGCGCAAAGAAGAAATCCCCCCAATAACGAGACAGAAGCTCCGCATTGAGGGTCAAACAGGATCTGGCTTTACTGTGGGCTATCTGCCCGTATTTATGCAGGTCTCCCACTTGGACACTCCCCTAGGGGACCAAATGGGAGACTGGAATTACAGATGGACATGGGAACATTTCAGACATACAATCACAAGCTTTTCCCACAATGCGATATGGTTTCCTCCCCTCTGCTCTGGAGATAATTGAGAAGTAATTCAATTATCTCCAGGACAAATACAAATTTCCATCTTAAATGCAATACCAAAAAAATACATAAAAATATATGTAACGGATCACCTGGCACCCCGACTGGGTACCTCCGTTGAAAGATGATCCTAGCGCTTCCTGAGGACTCCAAGCACTCTGGCAGACACCACAATCACCGAACCGGAGAAACAAATAAATTCATGTAACGGATCGCCTGGCACCCCGACTGGGTACCTCCGTTAAAGGATGCTCCTAGCGCTTCCTGAGGACTCCAAGCACTGCAGCAGACACCACAACCACCGAACTGGAGAAGCATTTGAATCCTCTCAAGCATTTGAATGCTGTAGACAGTTGAATAGGAACCATACGAATAGGTTTACTCTCCTTGCAGTCAAACTGGAACAGCATACAATAAATCCTCCCCGAATAATGAGACGACACTTCACTTTGAGGGTTAAGCAGGAACTCCCTGTACTGTCACATACAGTCTCTTTTATTCCCAATCCACAAACATAGTACAGCCCACAGGGCGTTACAAAACAACCAATCAATCCGTACAATACACCCAGACACTCCCACACAAAATCCTCCCCTCTGCAGGTGATATGATTACTGAACACAATGGGTAATCTCATTATCACCGGCAGAGGAATACAGTTTTTACACAATATTTATAACTTCTAAAATATACATGTCACAAACATAAAACATACATTTTCATAATCAATCCATTCAGGGGAACAACATATTAAAAAATGGCACGAATCAGACCAGGGGTTCAAAAGTTAAGGGAAAGTCCTTTGTGACTAAATGAAGCATGGCTTTCTGGCCCAAACCAGTTTCAGAGTCTTCTATCCTGGAGAGTAATTCAATTATCTCCCAGGACAGACACAAGACTCCATTAAGCACATGGTTGCAAAAAGACACAAAACACTTTAAAATACATAAAGTCACATTTTATACATAAAACACAGACATGTCACATATCCCCAGATAGCTGGGATCTGAGCGCACAAAACTACCGAATAGCGCTCAGATCCTATTCACACAGTTCAATTGCCATGGAGCCGAAGTCTTTAACTACACGAATGGGCTCCATGGCATAGCTATCTGGGTTAATAACTTCACATAAAGTCTGGTCCATAGTCCAAAGGCAAGAGGCGGGCAAGCAGCCCCCTCCAAGGACACGTGGCGAGGCCGGTTTCGCCACAATATATAACTTTAAAATAACCGAACATTTCCCATTCGTATCACACATCCCCAGATAGCCTGGATCTGAGTGCATATTATTAGCGAATAGCGCTCAGATCCCACACACATAGTTCAATCGCCATGGAGTCAAAGTTCTTACAGTCTTTCAGTATGCGATTGACTCCATGGGAAGGCTATCTGGGTTAAGTCCTTTCGTGTGTTTCAAAACTCCCGAACGGCCGGTGTTTGTACGCTTTCTTCGAGGCAGCAAGGCGACCCGTTGTTTCAGCAGTGTTCGGCAGAAAAAGTGTCCGTTTTTAGTTCCATGGAATCAGTGCCAAACACTGCTGGGCTTTCGTGCGTTTTAAAATGGCCGCTGCCTCATGGTCGACATACGAACGATGGCCACCCTGAATTCGGTTTAATTGAGAAGTGTCTGCGGTTAACCACAACGTTCTAATTGGGATCAAGAGGTTAACCAGCACCACACTTCTTCTTCTGGGTGGCCATTCGTTCAGTGAATTTGTTCGATGAAAACAGTCATTCATATGGCTGGGCTATAGAAACAGCCATTTACACGAACGGGGGCAGGAATAGACGAATCCACCACAATAGACAGACGGATGGTTCTGTCACATTGCCCAACTGTTTTGTCACCATAAGCAATATCTAAATATCAAAATATCAGTATTATTTTTTTCTTAAGATATTTTTTATTTAATTTCTGTTTAGATGTTGATGTTTGTATGTATGTAATAAGCATAATCTCCAGTTTATCTTATGTCTATTTTGCACTAAATTGCTTGTGCAGTGAAGTGCTGTTTTTCTTTTATGTATTTATTTATTTTAGTTTTTAATTGAAACATTTCTATAAAAAATATATAATACAATGAAAAGTTATCTCCTGCTCTGTAAATTGAACATATATTATATATATGTAAAAAAGGCTCCTGCAGTGTCTTAAAAGGCTATTGGAGCAGGAGAAAATAAAGAAAAAATTATTCAATTTAAGAAAGTCTAAACATTACATGTCTCTTTACAGGAAGTGTTTAGGAGAGCTGTTCAAGTCACATGCAGGGAAAAGTTAGTAGGACCGAAATGGCAGAGAATGAGACTGCAAGGGAATGATCTATACACCAATTATGCTTAATGCTTCATTAAGCTAAAGTTGTTTTGGTGCCAATAGTGTTCTTTTTAGCTATTTACTAACCACAGCTCCGTCTCTAAGGATAGCAAAGTAAACTTATCTTAGTCACTTAAAAATTTGGCAGTGATTGCAACATTCAAGTTGTCAGAAGTAGAAACCACCAAAAACTAAAAATATTGACCAAATTTGTACAAAAAAATCAACTACTGGCAAAATTTTCCACTGTGCACAATTATAATTGAAGATTATGCTAGCTTTAGTGTACAGATAATCTTAATTTTAATAATGACAGGAGGCAAGTATTTTGCATAATCTTTCTTTACTAACTCCATAGCAGCAAAGAAACGAGTGACATAACTGAGAACCAATCACAATGCATTATAGAGTATAAGAGGTGTAACGTATGACATCATTTCCTCTTAAAGCATGCGACATCACAAGATCACAATGCAGAATAACAATAGGGATAACTCATAACATGAAAATTGAACATAAACAGAGAGACTCCAAGGGAAGACTTCTTGATGTGACGATCTTCCATGACAAGACGATGATGACATCTTGAATGGAGTCTTTAGTGTCCTGATTCATCTGGTTAAACTGAAACAAGAATATAAAGGGTATTATATTCCAAATATGGTTGTGTAAAAACACTGAGCTGTCTATCCCTTATGATTAAGTAAACCATCATTATTAAAGGACCACTCTAGGCACCCAGACCACTTCAGCTTAATGAAGTGGTCTGGGTGC